ATGGCAATAAAAGTGATTCTGATTCCGATTACAATATTAGAGTTTGGTGTTGTGGCCTGAAGGAACATACCAAATATTCCTAGGAAATGGAGCCGCTATTGTCCTCTTTCAATATCAGTTGCATGTGTGCTTTTGAGCTCTTTCTGGGAAGCTAGACTACCCAGGTGTGGCAGACAACACTTAGTATAATGTGAAGCTTACAAACCAAATAAGGTTTATATTAGGGCTGGGACTCGAATATTTTTTTAAAATCAAATTAATTAGAGGCTTTGTAATTTATTAATGGCATTAATGGCATATTAATAAATATTTCACCTGAGAACAGTGAGAAGTGATAGACTGTTGGGGGTGGAGCCAGCTGCAGAGTTGCATAGCTTCCCCTCTCCTTCCCACTTTTCTACTTTTTAGCCACTTATTTTTTACTTTTTTGTTAACTGTTGTTACAATACAGCCGCGTGAAGCTAGTGCCCACTTAGGAAGTGAGACACGCCGTGTTTTTCCACCGTTGTCCTGATCATAAACGTGGATTATACCTGTGAACGGAGATGTGCCGGTGCGCTCTCATTGCTTACACCCGGGACCAGCTGCTGGCGCTGCGGAGAGCGGAGGTCCCTCCGGAGGACGCACTATTCCTGGGGAGATTCTACGGAGAACACCCAGGGGCTGCCGCGGGGGATGGAAGGTACGAGGGAGAAAGAGATCCAGACCCGCGGTGCCTGCCGTGATCACCGGGAATGTTCCTCTCCATTAAGACTGCCGAGCTAGCGGCACTGACGCGCTACCGACGCGCTACCAGCCATGGCTACCAGCTGGAGTACCTGGCCAGCCAGCCTCTAGGTATTTACAGAAGCAAGGCTACACACAGAAACTCCTCCAGTGGGAAACGTTCCCGCGGGGGAAAAAAAATATATACGATTAAAATGCGTCAATTTTAAGTGTATGATTTGTATGTGCGTAACAGGATTTGTGTGTGCGAAACTAGATCTGTGTGTGTAAAAAAAAAAAAAAGGTACGTTTTTTTTTTTTTTACACACACATCTTTTGACGCAGTCCTGCCTTGGCAGTTTCGCAAGCGTAACTTGGACTGTGTGCGTGTATACCCAGATTTGTGTATGTGTAATTTGACATTTGTATCTGTAACAGAACAATCTGTGCGTAAATAACCACGTTGTAAGAAGAGAAGAACGTAAAAAAGCCTAAGGGCTACGCACAGGCTCTCGTTTTACACACAAAACTTTTGACACACCTCTTGCGCCAGGAGTGTCTCAAAAGAGATTCGTAAGTGTAATGTGGTTGTTCTAGTAGTACACCAGCAGATGGTGCTGTTGTAGCTGGTTATTACCAGTGGGGGCGGGTCCCTGCTCAAAGGTGGCCAAAATGACGTGCGCTGACATGCTTGCAATACCACCCCGGGCCGATGGGGGTGGACCCAGAAGTAGAATTAGCCAATGCTAACATATAGCGTTGGCAGACCTCTCAAAAACGTCTTTACAGGATGGACCAAAAGTTGGCTCTTTGCCCAAAGCTCCGTTCCACATGTGTGTCAACGCTGAGGGGGGTGAATTTTTTTGGTCCACTCTAGTTTACTTGCTGTCTCTCGTTCAAATGAAAGGAGCTGCGCCAGCTGACGCATACGCAGATGCGTTTTTTCACCATTTTCTTGTGGGCGGGACCACTCGCGGCCATTTTGGATTGCTCCAGTAGAGCAAATTTTTTGGCCCATTAGACAGAACGGCGGAGATAGGCGTGACTCTGTCCGTTAATATATACAGTCTATGGTTATTACACGCAAACAAACCAAAGATACAGCTGCCTCATCTGTTTATGATGTAAGGCAAACCTGCGCATGTGCGTCTCACGGTAGCTAATAGATTATAAATGGTCTGTCGGGTTGATAATGAAATAAAAAACAAATCTAAGTTGTAAACTAACAGCTGTCGAGTCACAGGACGCGTCATCTGTCATATGCGGCAGCTCAAGAAAGGGACTGCTATCATACAATAGAATCGGAATGCTAATAAAATCTACCAGTCTTCTGAAAATCTACAACTGTGTTAAGACATTGAACAGTGTGTCTATTTTTAAGATATTTGTGTGTCTATTTTGTGAATTTGTATTTTTATTTAATTTTTCTATTATTTCTTGAAGCCTTGCCTTGTAATTGGTTGTCTCTACAAGCGTTTGTATTGATTTATATTTAGAATTCTTTTCATTTTTTTCATTATTTCTCCCAATCCAACATACCTAGCACTCGCTCTTTTTGTACACTCCGCTCTCCCAATCTCTCGCCACGCGCTCACATAAACTTTAAATTTACTGATTTATTGGCAGCAAAATGTGTAATACAGCTATTGTATATAAAACGTATTAACAAAACTGAATTGTAGAGAATTCTGTTTTGTACATACTGAAAATTGCAGACAACATGTAATAAAGGTGAACATTTGTCCTTTGTAATATAAAAAGTGTAGCATTATCAAATGATTATTTGATCACTTTGGCTTATGTTTCCTAATCAATATAGTCAAAATGATTAAATACTGTATATATTTTTTGTATCCTTTTGCCTTTCTATAATTATGTAATTATAACTTATTTGTAATTATATTGCAATGTAGACAAACACATGCATTGAAGTAAAATGAATGACAGTAAACAGTAAATAAAGCTTACCAATGGCACTATGAGAGAGAGAGAGAGAGAGAGAGAGAGAGCGAGTGTCCGAAGCAAGCCACTCGAGTCCAGTTGTTTAGGGCAGATGCTTTCACAACATTAGATCCACTGTCGATAGTTACACACAATTGCTTCTTTTTATCTAGTTCCCAAACTACTCCCATATGTTTGAGGTAGCTCCGCGTTTTGGCACAATGTCTTCTACAATCTGGATGTCTTCACCATGGTCTTCACCGCCGCCCTCAGCCATAATAATAATAATAATAATGCATCGGTTTTATATAGCGCTTTTTTGGACACTCAAAGACGCTTCACATGTGTCATTATTCATTCACTCCATACACGGTGGTGATAAGCTACTACTGTAGCCACAGCTGCCCTGGGGCACACTGACAGAAGCGAGGCAACCAGTATGTGCCATCGGCCCCTCCGACCACCACCAACCATTCACACACACACCAGACTCATTCTAGGCAATGGGGGTGAAGTGTCTTGCCTAAGGACACAACGGCAGTTTGGCACTTTACAGCCGCAGCCGCCCCACTGTGGCTGGTGTTCCCAGAGGTTCCCAGAGGTTAAGTGTCTTGCCAAGGACACAACGACAGTAGTCAGTGGGAGTCGATGGTGAAAGTCTTGAGCGGGGCTTGAACCCACGACCTTCTGGCTCAAAGGCCAACGCTCTACCAACTGAGCTACTGCCGCCATGTTTGCTCTCTGCTCTGTTGTTGTTGTCCCTGCACGCCGCTCTGCTACACGTGCCGCGCAGATGCGTCATCAAAGTGCGCCGCACACAAACGTGTCTTCCGCTCGCTGTTTTCAGTATTATTATTATTATGTGGTATATTATTATGGTGTGAATGACAGGATTTTGAATAAAAAAACTAACAAACATAAACAGCTGAGGCAGTGTATCTCAACAGTAGGTTTTGCTTTGTTTGCGTGTAATAACCAGCTACAACAGCACCATCTGCTGGTGTACTGCTAGAACAACCACATTACACTTACGAATCTCTTTTGAGACACTCCTGGCGCAAGAGGCGTGTCAAAAGTTTCGTGTGTAAAACAAGAGCCTGTAAGTAGCACTAAAGCCTAGTGTATACTCACGCGGCGCGGAGCTTACGGACGTGACGTCACTTGCGCAACGCGTTGGTCACCGCAAGGCCCTTACGTTGCCTGCCGCGCAGCATCGAAATTTTCTAACTACGTAAGGGTCGCCGCAAGGAATCTCCGCTGTGATTGGTCCGTGTGTGTGTTTTGGAAGGAAGCACGGAGCGGCTGCAGCAGGGACATGGACGAGGCACTATGGAGCAGAGAGCTTCACGCTTCGAAGGAACCGAAGGAAAAGTAGTTTGGGCTCATGGCACAGCCTGATATATGCGGAGACTGTGGACTAGAGTTCTGTTGCATATCTAACATATATATAACTTATAAACTGCAGTCGTTTCTTTTGCACTGTTCCTGTCTTTGTTTGAATCTGCACTCGTAGCTTATCGCGTCTGTTCAATTCCTCCTGCACTTTTAAATCGTTCATGTTTTCCTCAGATATTTACCATTTATTGTTTTGCTGTTTGTGCTGAATACAATTTAATAATAACTATGTTTCCAGCAAGAACAGTGTCTTTATTCACAACATCACAGTTAAATGAGTTAAGAAATAATGAGTCCATAGAACTATCACATAAACCTACAGTAGAAACACATGTAATGAGCTCAAACAGCTTTGTTTTTGTTCATGTTTTTGTTCTGAAGAGGAGAAAGAAGCAGCGTAAATGCGACCGCTTTGGTATCTCAAGCAACTCCTGTGAGATCGCCATCATGTGGTTGGTTGTGCGATTACAACATTCTCCTCAAAACTCCGCAAGGAGTATAAATAAAATTGTGCTTCCGTAGGTCCACCGCAACCGCTAACGTAAGCAGCGCCGCGCAAGTATACACTAGGCTTTATTACGTTCTTCTCTTTGTACAACGTGGTTATTTACACACAGATTGTTCTGTTACAGATACAAATGTCAAATTACACACACGCAAATCTGGGTACACACGCACACAGTCCAAGTTACACTTGCGAATCTGCCAAGGCAGGACTGCGTCAAAAGATCTGTGTATAAAAAAAAGACAAATCTATTTACACACGCACAAATATTTTTTACACACACACAAATCTGGTTACGCATGCACACATCTTTTTATGCACACGCAAATCTGTTTTCGCATGCACAAATATTATTGAAAAAATATTAGCTCCATAATTGAGCATGTTCTCATGCAAAGTAATAATGAAGAAGGAATTATGATTGAAACTCACTTTTCCTCAGCAGAGACATCTCTCATGTTGACTGTGCACCTGTGGCAAAGACACACACACTTTAGCTGCAGCATGTGCTGGTCATTCAATTTCCAATATCCTGTCAACTATTATCCTCTTTTTTATATGATCCAACAATTTTTTTCATTTCTGCATCAGAATCAAACATCATTTTGTAATCATTTGTAGTCATTTATATGAGGATTAACTTTGCACGTATGCCTTGCTTTGTCTGTTGTATACTCTTATGTGTGTGAATCATACTGTATACAGAATTGGTGGTTCAATGAACACAATAAATGGAGAAATGAACACAATAAATGTTTAATGCTTTTCTTTTATAAGACTCCAGCGTCTTCCTGCAAATTGCAGACTTGTGAACCATGATGGGTCATTTTGGAAGATTTATGAGAGGGCAGAGCAGATGTCTCCCGTTTGTTTGTCACTCGGCCCCTCGCTCCTAAACATCTGCAAAGTGTTAGCTCCAGGATCCAACAAATGGACAATGAGCAGCTTTGCTGCAGACTATTACATCAGGGCACACAGGCCTCCTATAGATGGTTTTCCGCCACGTGCTTATTACCCATGATGCTTTGAGCGAACACCATGTTGTGGGTCAAGCTTATATTGCACGGATCATTTGTCCCCATGTTATCTAAAGCCACGACTTCGGCCGACACTGACCGTGTTAAGTGTACACACTGGAATAATCTGTGAGGTAAGATACTTGGAGAAATTGAGAGTGATTGGAGATTTGGATCCATTTGAAATGCGGCGAGACCAGTGGACTTCGCCAGAAATGGCTTTTTTTCTGTTTTACAATAAAAAAAAGGTCAGGATGTATATGATGCAATATTTCTTTCAATCTCATATAATAACTCATTTTGAACGAAGCAGTCGATATCACAGGCCAGGGCTGGACTGGCCATCGGGCGTACCGGGCAATGCCCGAAGGGCCGATGCCCATATTTGGGCCGGTCTGTCTGCCTCATACAAAAAAACATGTTTGTGAAAAGTGTAAATCCGTTGAGAAATGTTTGAGGGGAGCGTGCGTGTCCGCGGGGCACCTGCTGTATGTACTCGAACGGGATTCCACCACCTCAGCGGCCGCAGTGTTCCTGCATCCAGCGGCTCTGAGCTGGACGCAGGAACCGCTCACCGGGAGCCGCTCACAACACAACACGGCGAGCGCGTCACAACGTGACCATGTACCCAAGACCATAAACGCGCACAGGACCATGCATGTCTTTTCGTAATTTGTGCACCCAATAAATACACCGCTGCAGAAAACAGTCCGCGTCTCCCCTCTCCTCTAAATTAAAGCTCGGGTACCTAAATTTTCCATTGCATTAAAAGTTCATGTTTGAGCCCAAAAGTAAAATGTTGTGAACAGATTAAACAGATTTAGAGCCAGCTAATGACTGACAATATGCATTTCAGTCTTTTTTGACCAATTCTCATCCCTGTAACAAACAATAGTGTTGTCTGTGCCCACCTCCCTCACTCTGAGACATGTTTATTACTCTGTTTAATGTAGACTATTGTACTTTATTTTATTGTTGAAACTGCAGACATCCTGATCCTCTGCAGTATTTGCTTCCACATACTGTATAAACCAGGGGTCGGCAACCTTTAGTGCCCCTAAAGTGGCTCCTGGAGCCTTTTAAAAAATGTCTGAAAATGGAGTGTGAGGGCTATATTTTATTTCTAGTTTCAATGTGGTTTCTGTAGGAGGAAAAACATTCTTAACGTTTTTCAATGCTGCAAAAACTTGTATAAGTAATATTAAATTTTAGCATTTCTGTACGTAGTGCGTCATATCCTGTGACGCGGCCCGTGCCAGGCGGCCGCTGCTGTAAACAAACCGGCGTGTGTGCATTATAGACTGTGTGTGCGCATGGATCCCAAAGATAAAGAGAGAGAGTCGATAAGACTGGACTAAGAATGAGAATGAACTTTTGCTTTCAGTCAATGAGGAAGGACTGCTTCATGTTTGCGATGTAATGAAAACAATAATGAACAATGAAGCTTTAAACACCGTTCACTGAAAGATTCATTCATCATAAAGTCAGAACACCTATTTTCAGACTTCAAAAACCTCCACAGAGACGGTGAAAGAAAAGGCCATTAAGGACATTCAGCTCCAGCAAACTACAGCCTGTGATGTGATCGATATGAACAGACAGTGATGCAGGTGAACTGAGCCAAAAAGCAGATTTATTTACTGTATTTGTACAATTGCATGAAGGCAAAAAAAGTTAAACTTAAAGCAGAGTTGTCACGTGGTGCGTCATTCTCTCCAGGACACACTGCAATGAAAATACACATTTGATAATCATGAATGGTTTTTATGTGTTTGTAGCCTTTACTTTGTCATTTAGATATTAGTCTAATATAGCTAATATAGCTAATGTAGCTAATGTAGCTATTGTAGCTAATACAGCTTCAGACCCTGTTACCTTCATATAAGCCTTATACAACGCTGTTTTTTTGTTGTTGTCAAATATGGCTTATTGAACCTTTTGAGTTGCCTGGGCCGCTAAAAAGGAAAAAATGCCCGGGCCGTTTTTTTGTCCCAGTCCAGCCCTGTCACAGGCTGTAAATCACTGACCCATGAGCATACAAGCTTCTGTCTACCACCCTTTCCCCCTCCTCCTCCCCCTCTCATTCATTTAGAGGGGATCGCTTGAGGCCCATATACTGTATACATAGTATCACAGTCAAATCGCAGCTCTGAATATAAACCACACATGCAAATTAGGGATGTAAAAAACTATGAATTTTCATGACCGACCACCGAGCCTCATTAACCGGTTGAAACCGGTTAACCGCGTAGTTTAAAATAGTCCACGTTCTTTGAAATAACAGCCATTTCGAGCCGCGTACTTTTCATAAGTGCAGCTCTGCGTTCTACTGGATCAGAGCCGAGACAGCGGCGCCCAAACCCGCAACAGCTCCGCCACCTTTGCGCACAGAGAACTGCTTTTTTAATCTTCCCATTCTGCTGTGCTGCGGGTTAATACCAAAACTTTCTAGCAGCAAACGACGGCTCGTTCACATGGTCAGAGCAGCGAGTGACGAGCCGCGTCTCACAGGTCTTCACAAAAGTTTAAATACAAGTGATGTGTGTGGAGCTGATCCCGAGGACCATAAACACAAACATGTTCCATGTGGTTTGACTGGAGCCGCGTATTTGCGCGAATCCTTTGGGCTCCGTGACACAGAGGAGCGCGACAGACCGGTATGTGTGTGTGTATGTGTGTGTGTATGTATGTGTGTATGTGTATGTATATGTGTGTGTGTGTAAATGTAAGCTCCAATGTAGTTCTGACCCGCGCCAGTGTGCAACTTTGACGGTAACAGAGGGGAGAGATGATGCGTGTGGATGTTACGTATGGAGAGGGGGAAAGTGTGTGTGTGTGTGCGCGCGCGTGTGTGCATATGTGGCTCGTGCGGCGTGAGAGTCGTCCCGGAGTTTATAATACATGGGCGCACACAGCTAGATACAGACCCGCTCGTCACACCGTGCAAATAGGGATTAAAATAGCGTTATTAAGAGACCTCCCCTCTCCCCTTTTTCTCTTTTTTAACCGACAGCTTTGACCGGTTAACGCTGTGACGGTCAACCACCGGTTAACCGGTCGCCGATTTACATCCCTAATGCACATATTTAGCTCTTACCTGCTATGAAATGGTCAGAACAGGCCTTATAGTGCCGTTTTTCAGGGGGAAGGGTTGAATCCTTCTCGGTTGATCCTCGCCAACTAAAGGGTTCTTCTCTCCGTCGAGAGTCGCTCTGTGTCGCTCCCCTGGCTTGTAATAACCTTCGGAATGTCCCCACAATCTGCATGGTTAGTGCACCCCCAAACGAAGCAGGCAGTCTGCATGTTTTAGTGCAAACCAAAGTGATGTGATACACTTTGTTTACCTACAACTATCGGAAGCTAGACCCACAATATGGCAACCTGCGGAATAGTGGGTAATGCGTGACGTCATCGGAAAACCATCTATAGACTGAGGGTATGTTCACACTTATTGGTCTGGTTCACTATAACTGGACCATCCTGCTTCACTTGGGTCAAAAAGTCTTTATTTGTGGATGTAAAACCACCAAACATATAAACAAGTGTTCACTACTCTCTAAAGTCTGTACATCTTTTTAAACAGATCTGCAAAGCCTTTATTCGCCAAGTGAAGCAGACTTGGCCCAGGTAAAGAGAACCAGACTTGGTCCAGTTATAGTGAACCAGACTTGGTCTGCTTTAAGAGAACCAGACTTGGCCCAGGTAAAGTGAACCAGACTTGGTCCGGTTTAAGTGAATCAGACTTGGTCCAGTTTAAGTGAACCAGACTTGGTCCAGTTTAATTGAACCAGATGTAGTGTTGTTGTGAAAATGAAAAAATCCTTAGTTCAACTTTAGCTCACTTTATTAACACACGTTCCTTCATATGGAGGACATATAGTGATACATAAAAAAATGTCACAATATGCATATTATTGTTAAAATAACGCAACAAATTATGTAATTTAATAAATGTATATTATTATTATACAACGTTTTTATACAGTCCCATAGAACTCAATGTAAACTAAAACAGCTCGACCTCAGCTGACAGAGAACAGCTTTCATAAAGGTCGGATTTTGTGGGGATTTTAGTGTCCCTTCTCATCCTGAACTTTTTATCGTCTTAAATCCTTCGGTTATCTTTAAATTTACGCTTTACTACCACAAACTCTGCTCGTTTCCTTCCGGCTCTGACTCCGCTCTACCGCTGCTCTGATCAGCAGCTCTGAATGGTCAAAACCATAGACTGTATATATTAACGGACAGAGTCACGCCTATCTCCGCCGTGGCCCAAATTGTGAAAAAACGCATCTGCCGGCGCCAGCTCCATTCATTTGAACGAGAGACTAGGTCCAAAGAAATTCACCCCCCTCAGCATTGACACACATGTGGAACGGAGCTTTGGGCCAAGAGCCCGCTTTTGGACCATCCTGTAAAGACGTTTTCGAGAGGTCTGCCAATGCTATATGTTAGCATTGGCTAATTCTTCTTCTGGGTCCACCCCCATCGGCCCGGGGTGGTATTGCAAGCATGTCAGCGCACGTCATTTTGGCCACTTTTGAGCCGGGACCTGCCCCCACTGGTCAAAACGCGGCCGAGCCTCTCTATGCACGTGCATGAGAGCCACACACGCGTATTTGGCGCAACGATCATGGGAGCTCGTCCACCGCGCAGAACTGGGAGGACCAGACGATGCCCAAATATAGGCGAGTTCAGCTAATCTCCCGGTCCCTGTGAAGTCCCATGCGCTACTGAGCAGAAGCCATTCATTTGAATAGGTTGCCATCTTGGATCACCGGGCCTACCGCGGTGCTATCCTACTGGAAGTAGCTGCGTGATGCAGTTTGTGCCGTGGCTGTCGATGGAATTGTCACTTCTTCTATAATGCCTGGAAGATTGTGTTGTGTGTTCGGCTGTTTCAATAACAGTGTGAAAATACAAGCCTGCAATAGACCCGTGTGAACCTTTACAACATACTGACTGCATAGAGCTCCTGGTCGAGCTGAGGAACAAGATGTGTGTCTGAAGTAGATGAAAAATAAACTTAGATGACTTTAAGCCAAACAAGAAAGCAGTGGTAAGTTTAGCTTTGATTTGATTGACATTTGAGAAAATCACTGGTTGCTGTTTATAAGTGAGTGTAAAAAGTAACTGCTACATTTTCTAGCATCGTTAGCCTGTTAGCCAGATACAAAAGCTGACATTGCTCTTGACAGGACCTCTAATCTAATGCACTTTCTGTATATGTGCATTCACTTCCTGTTTGTCCTTGTTTACGTTGGATTCATTTGACATTTGCTAAATAAGTAATTCACAAAGTGGAGCTTGTGGGACTCTTTCTGGAATTGGCATGAAGTTAGCTAACTGTTGATTGTAATACACAGTAATGCTTGAAGCGAAGCATTTACACACATAAAATAACGGCACGTTCGTTAAATGAACTCAACAGATGTTCAATAATTAATTAATTAATTAATTATTGGGGGTCATGAGTTGACTTCACATCCCACAAGATCATCCTTATTAAGTAGAATAATAACCTCAAAACCAGTGATTTACTATTGTATTTTTCTTCAATTCCAGGTGTGTGGGATACATTTTCCTGATGTACAACCCACAATGGACAACCCACAACCCATAGTCTATGCAGCCACACAATATTTTTTAGAAAAATAACATGATTAACTCTCCGAAAAGTCCATTTCACATCAGCACTGTTGCACCCGTTAATATAATAGATCCATGGTTGCACCGCAGTACAACGCTTTGACATACTGCTGCTTCTGCAACACAGAGTTCATTTCCCTAAAACACATATAGAAAAGGGGTGTGTCTAGTTGATTAAAATGCAGGACGCTTAAAAGCTCCAAAGAAAGCTTTAATTGTCCACCTCAGCACTCACCAATGCAGGGTGCTTCCACAGGGCTATGTGTGTCAGGCTGTCCACGCTGTCCACGCTGTCCACGCTCTCCGTGCTGCTGCTGCTGCTGCTGTGCACTGTAAAGCCACAGTCTCTCCTCCCTGTCCAGATGTGGAGTGTCTGTAATGTTCTCGCGCTGCTTCAAAGCCAGAGGGACGTCTGTGAGAGCGGCACATGCACTATCAGCAAAAAAGGACTGCACTCAACTACGAGCTGGACTTTTTTCTGATAACATTTTTTACTTTTACTTCTATCTTCTGAAGTGGTTTGCCATGCCTCTGTATATAAATATATAAATATATTTATCAATATATATTTTATCCATATGTAAGCGGTTTGAGTTGTACTAGGCTAGACAAAATATATTTTCCTGCCTTGCATTTATATAAGTTTATGGTAGTTGGCCATACTTTTATATTCATTCATACAGGTTTGAGCGGTGAGCTGTGCATCTAAATTCATTACATAAATGTGTGAAGTAGTTCTGGGCATAACCTGTGTGTTTTAAATTACACACATTTGTATTTAGTAATAATTACTGAAAAGAGCTAGTTTCAACAATTCTCAATGGAGAACTAAAGAAGCTGTGCTGTATTTACATGTAAATCCCAGTCCTGACTGCACTCAGAGCTCTGTGCTCTCGCAGCAGAACATGTTTTCAGATGAGGGGCGGGGCTTAGCCATAGTTCGAATCTCAACCAGTCAGACTACAGGCAGCAGCACAACCACACTGTCTCCTCCTGTGGTACGTCACTAATCCAAGCTGCTGAGCAACTGCTAGAGGTTCAACCAATCAAAGTATTTGAATTTTGCAATGAAAGTTTGGTTCGATGTTCAACCAGTTTCTGTTAGCCGGTTAGCTAAGTTAGCTTGTAGATGCATTTCCCGATTTCACTTGGCAGATACTGTACACCAGACACTTCACCATAGTTCACATATAACTTACAAACTAATACTTTGTTCTCTTTTCCAGCCGCCTGAGTTTATCGCCAGCAGATTATTGTCTTGTTTGCTAATGTTATCATCTGTTGATTGAAGATGGAGGATATTCAGGTAAGAGCTGTAATTCTCCCTCAAATGTTCTTGTGGTTTTAGGTGTGTTTTGCATTGACTGTAACAATAACCAAAATGTGTTTCCTCAGACACAAGTCCAGGGGTAGAATTTAGGATGTGCAGCGGAGACTGTAGTTTTACATTCCTGATTCTAACGTAAGTATTTCACAGTTTTGATTGTTTAATAAATGAGATATTATGACTTTGATCATTTTGTTCATTAAGAGCAGAAAAAAACCTTCAGTTTTGTTGTTAAACATTATTTGTGTTTTCATTTTACTGAACATGTGTTTCTGTTTGGACAATGGTGTATCACGTCTGCATATGAACAGTGCCGATCTCTTCTCTCTCCTGCTCATGGTTTCAAATATCTGTCTTTCAATAAAAAGACATTGAACATCCAAATGTTTCATTATTATTGGATTAATACACTACGTTACAGAATATATAAAACTTTAGGTCATTATTATGTTAGTAATTAAGTAATGAAATGATTATAATCAATGTCAGTTTAGTGATGATAGCATAAGATTCTGAGTAATGCTGTGCTAAAGCTAAATAAACTGGTAATCATTACTTGAGTTAATCAGTGATCGTTCTGCAAAAACTAAAGAGTCTGCGTTTACATGACATAAAGCTTTTGATTTAGTAAAAACTTAAAATATTTGTTGCAATTGGTTACCCAAAACGGCTTTAGTAATGATAACTAGTTCGGGTCTTCAATGACATACAGTATTTCAAAAAATGTAAAAAAAAAAAAATATATATATATATATATATTATTATTTAAATATAATATATATATATATATATATATATATATATATATATATATATATCTTTATAATAATATATATATCTATATATATATATATTTTTATAATATTATATATATAATATTTCTGATGACTGCTGTCCTTGTGTCCTTGGGCAAGACACTTAACCCAACTTTGCCTGAAGCTCCCGCTGAAAGATCAAGGCTCCTGTGGACTCACCACCTGTAGGAGGATCAGTGAGGGCTGGTGCACTGTGAGTGCAGCTCTGACTGCCACCCCCCCGACCCTGCAGAAATGGATTAAGCGGAAGAAAATGGATGGACATTATTTTGCAATAAGAATAACAATATAATCTGATATTGTAAATGATACAGGAAAAGACTTCATGTGAAAAACACACACTAAGGGACACACAATCATGAAGTGAAATGTTGATTATTTACTTTATTTAGGAATTTAAAAAACTTAAGTTGTATGTCAAAAAGTATCTACCCTTTTTCTCTTTGTGCAACCAATTGCTTTCTGAAGCTTCCTGATGGTATTGTTACCCTATTGTTACAATACCCTCTTTCAGTCTTCAAACATAAAGATATACAAATTATTTTTTTTGTCATGAATCAACAACAAGTGGGACACAATCGTGAAGTGGAACGAAATGTATTGCATAATTTAAACTTTTTTAACAAATAAAAAATTGAAAAGTGGGGCGTGCAATATTATTCGGCCCCTTTACTTTCAGTGCAGCAAACTCACTCCAGAAGTTCAGTGAGGATCTTTGAATGATCCAATGTTGTCCTAAATGACTGATGATGATAAATAGAATGCACCTGTGTGTAATCAAGTCTCCGTATAAATGCACCTGCTCTTTGATAGTCTCAGGGTTCTGTTTAAAGCGCAGAGAACCATGAAGACAAAGGAACACACCAGGCAGGTCCGAGATACTGTTGTGGATTTGGATACAAAAAGATTTCCCAAGCTTTAAACATCTCAAGGAGCACTGTGCAAGCAATTATATTGAAATGGAAGGAGTATCAGACCACTGCAAATCTACCAAGACCCGGCCGTCCCTCCAAACTTTCATCTCAAACAAGGAGAAGACTGATCAGAGATGCAGCCAAGAGGCCCATGATCACTCTGGATGAACTGCAGATAACTACAGCTGAGGTGGGAGAGTCTGTCCATAGGACAACAATCAGTCGTGCACTGCACAAATCTGGCCTATTTGGAAGAGTGGCAAGAAGAAAGCCATTTCTCAAAAATATCCATAAAAAGTCTCGTTTAAAGTTTGCCACAAGCCACCTGGGAGACACACCAAACATGTGGAAGAAGGTGCTCTGGTCAGATGAAACCAAAATTGAACTTTTTGGCCACAATGCAAAACGATATGTTTGGCGTAAAAGCAACACAGCTCATCACCCTGAACACACCATCCCGACTGTCAAACATGGTGGTGGCAGCATCATGGTTTGGGCCTGCTTTTCTACAGCAGGGACAGGGAAGATGGCTAAAATTGATGGGAAGATGGATGGAGCCAAATACAGGACCATTCTGGAAGAAAACCTGTTGGAGTCTGCAAAAGACCTGAGACTGGGACGGAGATTTATCTTCCAACAGGACAATGATCCAAAACGTAAAGCCAAATCTACAATGGAATGGTTCATAAATAGACGTATTCAGGTGTTAGAATGGCCAAGTCAAAGTTCAGACCTGAATCCAATCGAGAATCTGTGGAAAGAGCTGAAGAGTGCTGTTCACAAACGCTCTCCATCCAACTTCACTGAGCTCGAGCTGTTTTGCAAGGAAGAATGGGCAAGAATTCCAGTCTCTCAATGTGCAAAACTGATAGAGACATACCCCAAGCGACTTGCAGCTGTAATTGCAGCAAAAGGTGGCGCTACAAAGTATTAGCGCAAGGGGGCCGAATAATATTGCACGCCCCACTTTTCAGTTTTTTATTTGTTAAAAAAGTTTAAATTATCCAATAAATTTCGTTCCACTTCACGATTGTGTCCGACTTGTTGATTCTTGACAAAAAAAATTTTTTTTTATATCTTGTGTTTGAAGCCTGAAATGTGGCAAAATGTTGAAAGGTTCAAGGGGGACGAATACTTTCGCAAGGCACTGTACCCACATTAGCACCAATGGTAAGAAACAAGACACCTATGGTAAGAGACAAGACACCTATGGTAAGAGACAAGACACCTATGGTAAGAGACAAGACACCTATGGTAAAAAGAGACAAGACACCTATGGTAAGAGACAAGACACCTATGGTAAGAGACAAGACACCTATGGTAAAAAGAGACAAGACACCTATGGTAAAAAGAGACAAGACACCTATGGTAAAAAGAGACAAGACACCTATGGTAAGAGACAAGACAAGAACAAGACACACTGACGCTTTTATTGACACAGACAAGACCCGAAACACTCTCTGACAGCTCCCCTCTCTCTCCTTCCTTGCTCTGGGCTGAGGGGATAACTCTCCTTCCTCTTCATATTTCCTACGTTTTTGTTTTTGTTGTATTTGTTTAAAAATGTAATAATATTTAAACATGACTTTATTTCCTCATCTCAATCATTCCAAAAAGTTCACTCCTCACACGCAGATTGTAATGTAGTCCTAGATTTAGGTTGATATAATTTATTATTCCCTCTTAGTCTGTATTTGTGGTATCTCTGTCATGGAGCAAGTTTTGTATCTATGTTTTTGTTCTTTGAACATTGTCTTGGAATGATGCCAATAGTTGACATTCGATACAATCCCAATGCCTTTTTTTGCAAAGTAACTAAAGGCTGTAAGTGGGATTTGTAACAGTTTCCCCAGACTTAAACACAATCATATTTTGACATTAAGAATGATAAAGTAAAAGAAGAGCATTAGTGTTCAGTAAATTTCTTTTTTCTCTTCATCATTCCAACACACTTTTGTCCTCGGGTAACTTATATGAGGTTTCCAATAAATCTTTTTATCTATTATAACTCCTAAGAATGTATTCTGTTGAACTTTTTCTGTTAGAGCAGCCATTCCCAAACTCAGTAACACCGAGGCCCCCTTAAAAATCTGAAGGGTCTGCGTGGCCCCCCAAAATAATAACCAAGAAGACAACATTAAGAACAGGCTCTTCTGGTTATTTTATTTTGGGGAAATAGCCTCTGCTACAAACATTGTAATACAAAAATGATTATAGTGGCTTATTCAAGTCAAATAATGAACACAAATATTTTAATATTACAAACAAAACATTATACATTTAACATTAAATAATTATATATATATATATATTTTTTTTTATGACCTCCCGCGGCCCCCCTGCAGTACCCTCGCGGCCCACCAGGGGGCCGCGGACCCCACTTTGGGAGACACTGTGTTAGAGTATCGTGAACAACAATTTTGACCGGTGCTTTTACGTTTGCTAAAAAGCTTCTTCAGATTTAGTGACAATTTAGCCAAAAGTTGCCCCAGGTTCATTACCGATCATAAGACAATGGTGTCTAGAATGAAATAGAAATAGAATGAAATGTATAAGTTTTGATATTTTACAAATTCTATTTATGTAGATAATAAATAATGTCAGCATAATAAATACATCCCGACTACAGATCAATGTGCACAATCTGTTGTCTCTCTCTCAAATAGCTCTCCAACCATTTATTTGTTAAACCCCTTATGGCATAGTTTTCCATTTTATGTAATACAATATTATGGCCAATGGTATCAAAATCTATACAAAAATCCTATTATAATGTAACCCACTTTGGAATTTACATGAATACTAGATTCATAAAGCTCAAATGTTAAAGGTTGGAATAGTAGCCACAATGAAAGACAGACGATGTTTAAGAAAATGTAAA